AAGCAGTAAGCTAGTGTCCGGGTGCAGTTTTAAATCAACGTTAGGGTTTCAGAAAGTGGAGCGTCTACTGACATAACACCTACTTAGAAGTTTACTGACCTCGAGTTGCCGGGACCGTTACATGACAGTCGAGATCCGATTCAGTAGTTCAGTTACCGCCTAAAGTGCAAGTGGCCAGACTCCCACAAGGCAAGACTGATGTAAAGTTACAGCTTTGAAAAGTAAGGGTTAAACAATAAGATTTCTAACTACACTTTCCATATGAAGAATATTGACTTTCATAGGATGATATTAAATTAATTTATGGTAATCTGGAAAGTAATTCGATTGCTAAATACGACCATTGTAATAATATCAGTACTTAAAAGCACTAACTCAGGAAATAAGGAACTAGCAATGAAAACATACTTGGAAAACATGAAAAATTTCAGCGAAATATACAACCGACATCAGATAAACGAGTTAGTTTATCCTCAGAATTGTTTTAAAACTCACTGGGAATTTGACCCGCACAGCTACTTTTTCTTATGAAATCCAGTAGATACACCATATGTACATGGGGGTATGTACACTGGTAATATGGAGCGTGGTGTACGGTCATTTACTCTTCGGTCAAGTAGTTGTGAAGAATACAATTCGTTACGTCCTTAAGAATTAAAATATCGTTTGTTTAGTATATTTAAAGTAGAACTACTTTTCCTCGTAAAGCCTGCTTAACTTACGAAGAAATATTCGTTGGAAAATTTATTGATACTATCTACAAATAATAAAAGTCATATACTTGATTAATTTGTGTTTAATTCAACAACTGTGACTATTTACACAGCAAAGGGAAAATATTTCAATCGAAGTGTAGTTCAATGTTCGGCTAATGACACCTTCAAATAGTGTTCCGTTACTGGTCCAAAAGTGAAGATAAAAGTATTAGGTGTTTAAACCAGAGTTACTTAGAAATAAAACAAGGAAGAATCTGAGTGGATTGGAGTTTATTTAACTTAGAAGTCTGTACAAGAACTAAAACACACGAGAAGCATCAGAGAGCGACGATAGTCTGAATACACCTAGTAGGGAAAGAAAAAACCAGTCACATTGGAACAAAACAAGATAAAGGAATAAAAATCTAGTACAAGTACCTAAATATCAGGTGTCTAAACTACATTTCAACTTACCACTCCATGCTGTTAAGCGAAAATGTTGAATACATCAATAATACACTAAAAGTGTTATGCGTAATCACCTTCCATGGACTGTGTCCATACTCTTCGGTCAGTAAAACCTTCAAAACGAATCAGCTTCCCTATTTAAATTTCAATCGCTGGGATTATTTCAAATATAATTTTCACATATAATGACAAGTCAGCTTCCGTTTACGGATCTTCAAGAAGAAAGATTCTAATACTATGTGGTTAACTGAGAAATGACAAATTCAAGTACAACCGACACTAGATAAGCTTGTCTTATTCACAATCTGACCCTTGTCTTCATATATTCATCCTGAAGCAGCTTGGAGCGATAGCGTTCAGATAGCTGGGAACACGACAACGATATATTAGTAACTTAAAACAGATTACGAAAGACCAGTGGATTTTAGAAGCACCTACTAAAATGATGAATGTCAATATGATCTGTACATCACTGGCAGCGAAGTCGACTCAAGCATAAACTGACGAAAATTTATGCAGTAATTAGGAAACGAAAGCAGGAGAGGTGATAAAAAGAATCGGTGACAGGTAGTGTTAGACATGTTTACACATAAAAACTCTATATGAATATTTTCTACATCATCATACACACGTATTGATCCTTATTCACACTCTTATGTATAAATATGTCAATATCTGTAATAATTTTGAATTTCAAATAATTTAGGATATAAGCAGCTGATGAGAACCTAACGAAATAAAATGAATTCATATTATTCTGCACCAATCTTTGTTCTTGCTCTATTTAAGATAATAAAGGGAACTATGTGTATGGAAAAAAACAGGCATCGACATGTCTATAGTGAGACTTAGAAAACGTTAAGTGTCAAGTGTAATTCACTCACCATGTACGGTTCAAATCACACTTTTAGTGTGGGGCTATTACTCGGCTGTCCAAGCCAAATTCGACAATAGTTTGAACTTGTAACTTACTGGTTGAAAAGTGAGTAGCTAACAGAAGATGGTGTCATGATTTAATTTTAAAGCGAATGATTAGGGCGACGGGCAGGATGTTATGAGAGGCAGTTCAACTGCCCATAGTATAACAATATTGAAGGGAAATTAACCTAATCCCTCGACCCCTATCAAGATTGGGGAAAAATAACGAACTAGAGTCAGGAGAGAGAGGAGTTAGTGTAAGTAATAAGGTTAACTACAGATTTTGTGGATAGTTGTTTGATATAATTAAAATTACTAATTTCTAAATACAGTTCAGGAGCTAGAGACAGTCTTGACCGCGGTCTTCTCAGTACATAAGAATAAAATCGATTTGTGATAATCAAAAAAGAATCTAATTTTACTAGTATATTAGCCATCATAATCAATTGACGTACAAATGGATCTTAAGAACGAAAAGCCCGTAAAGTCTGCAAGGTTTCGGACAAGAAGATGGATGTGAAGGTGATAACTTCACATTATGACTTTCTAGAAAACAAACATACCGATTCTTAACTGTATTTGTGATTTCGAAAACTGAAATACATTCCAGGAGCTAGAGACAGTCTTGACGGTGGCCTGCTTGAATATCTGGGCTCCCTGTTTCTACCATCTAATTATTTCAGCAAGTTATGTTTTTTTAATTATTGGTTTTAACTTATTATTATGTTCATTAAACGCTTAACCTATTCAGGTGATTTTACGAAGAGCCTACGAACTTTCGCTGCACAAGTTTCAAAAAAGTACTGTAAAAAACACCGTGGTGGTCGGTAATATGCGTTAAAAAAATGAACATTAATAGTATGTCGATTCCCGAGCCGCTAACTTCTAACTGCCGATCACTAATCAACAAAGTGGACTATCTGCAATCCCTACTAAGTCAAAAATTTTATCGTAATTGTGGTGTCATCACAATTCAAGAATCTTGGTTGAATGATTTACAGGATCGATCGAACAATAAAAAGAGATGTGGTGGCGGTGTGGCTACGTTTGTGAACGTAAACGGGTGTCGATCGTCGTTCGTATGTTTTAAGTTTTCAAATGACTTTGTCGACTATCTTTCTAGAAAACAAACATACCGATTCTTAACTGTATTTGTGATTTCGAAAACTGAAATACGGACATTCCGTTTAGTGGTAGATTCGCCTTGCTCACTGACAGACGATCATCCTGCTTATGGATATAGCCAAACAGAAAACATTGCCGTACGTCTCAGGAACTTAATGTACTAAAACGCAGTTGCAGTGTTTTTCATCAGAGGAGCTATGCAACGCATTCGAAACCATAAACTATCAGTTCCTCGTTTCGATGAAACGAAGTCACTTCCAATTGCAAAGACAGAATTTAGTGAAAATTCATCGACTTCAAGTCCAGAACCTCCAGTGATGGTCTCATTGAGTTTGGTTGAGTCCAGGATATCAATGCTAGACCAACCTTCAAAAGCCACTAATCAATCAATCATAAGAAGACCGGTGACGTCTTCAGCTATAGTACAAACGAATATCAGGTGCCCTCAACTTTATCGACCAATCAATGTCCGTTTTTAAGAGGAAGATGTGAAGACGTTTTATATCGTATGATAGTAAGTCAGTTGCGATTAATGAGAAAAAAGAAAACAAAGAACTGAAGAATTCATGAAACAAGTAAAATATATCACCGCTATGTTAGTGTTGCCGTAGAAGGATCCCACATGACTTCGTGTGATTAATATTATGCTTAAAAGTCAGTCCTAATATTTATGTTCTAATTAATCGGGTTAGTGACTAGTAAACTAACTTCCTCCAACAGTTATTTTATGTTACTAATCCTTACAAAAGCATAACTCATCATTATGTAAAAAGCCAATTCTTCCAAAATCTCGATCAACAAAGGATCTACTGAAGGTAGAAAACTACTATGGAGGAAAACTGGAAAGGTATCCTAGAAACATTAACTTCAACATGTCAGGATGTTCTTGGCCTCAACAAGCATCATCATAAAGAATGGAATTCTATAAAAACACTGGACAAGATCGAAGAAAGGAAGAACAAGAAGACGGCAATTAGCAACAGCCGAACACGAGCAGAGAAGGTCCAAGCACAAACTGAGTACACAGAAGTAGACAAGCAAGTGAAGAAGAGCATTATTGTTGACAAGCAGAAATACGTGGAAGAACTAGCAACGATGGCGGAAAAAGCTGCGACAGAAGGAAGTATGAAACGACTATATGACTCAAAGAAGAAACTAGCAGGGAGATATAGTAAACCAGACAGACCGGTCAAGGATAAAGAAGGCAGACCAATTGCTTAGATTCAAGAACAGAGGAACGCTTGAATAGACCAGCTCCAGTGAAACCACCGGACATCGAATCAGCACACACAGACCTGCGACAGATAAGTACATATGGAGACTGAAAAGCTACCTGGTATGAGTCGTAGTCTACCTACCATTTAATAAAAATGACAAATTTTCATAATTATATCAAGCATATACCTTTTTCAACACTACTGTCATTTGAATTACAAAAGTCAGCATAGCACTAACATAATTAGTGTTTGTAAATGTTACAGAAAGCAACGGGTTCATCTCGGCAAAGGACTGGATAAATAGAGAATCTATATATCTAAATATTTGACACGTAAATGAAAAGCAAGTAAATCTAAATAATTGGCACTCCTACAATAAACCGTATTGTAGTTCACATCAACAGGAACGGTTTTTTGTCTCACTTGGACATTTCTGTTAGTTTCAAAAAGCAAGACGGTTTAAAGGCAAGAAAACTTCTAAAAGTTAAACAGAATGCAAATAACATGGATAAATAGTTTAAAAGCATAAGTAGTGTAGTGTAACGCACAAACATAAAGGAATACTTACATCAACCAGCTATTTGTGATGACGATTGCTTGTAGTGTACGTTCGTGACCCTCCACTTGAGACAACACGAGGGGATCGTGCTTGGTGTGAAGGAACTCGCCCCTCTATTTGCTGGTGTCGTTGTCTATTTCCAGTTGAATGAGCTACGGAAGCCTGTGAAGGCTTTCTCCATTGTGCTGGAAGTTCACGACCGAAGCTTGCAGGAGAGCGGCTGTGAGAACATGTATGGTCTCTCCTACGAGGAGATAAATATTGAGATGGTGGGCGGTGACGGTAAGCATCAGGATCTATCTCTCCACGTCGAACCTTGGATAAAAGTATGCTTGGACCGGAAGGAGACCTGGATCTGGAGTAGGATGATGAACCCCTGCAATATTCACGACGACGGTTGTGGGGATGAGGTGGAGGTGGACTATATGAACAGCTACGGCTAGGACTGCGTGAGTAGTGGTGATCATGTCCTGCAACTTTTGGACGTGATCCAATACCACGTAAAAACGCATCTACTTTTTCTTCGTACTGAAAAAATACAGAGAAAAGATGCACGTAAAATTACAATTCAAATGTTAACAACACGAAGAAAATAATACAATTCAAAGCATAATATATGAAGCAAGTAATTAGTAGAAAGCTTACTTTCAGATCATTTTCATGACTTTGGGGAATTTGTAAATAAGCACTTGGACCGGCAACTCGACTTCCCTACAAAATAAATAATTGAATTATTAGTCTGGTTACCAATAAATAATAATCGACGAATTTAGACGTCTAGAATATTTGGCAGACTCAAGTTTTTTTTCAATAGTTGAATTCGTGAATCGATCTAAGCTATATCACCATTGAAAACGTGGAAGTATTGGACGGCCGTTTCGTCCTAGTATGGGACACCTCATAAATACACAACATCGAATTGTTTGAGATTTCTTCACGGCATGTAATAATTTGATTCCTAACATCGAGTTTCCTAATAAATATAATGGTCCCAACAAAATAATAATCGAGGCCTGGAAAATCCAACTTAGTATTACTTCAGTGAATCGGAGAACGAAAAAACAAATTTATATCAGAGTATTAACCATCAAGTAAAAAACAATTGCGACAGATAATTCAAGTATTTTGGCGTAATGATTTCAAATACAGAAAAAGAAGCTTGCGTAAAATTACAAAAAGGAAAGGCAAAAAGCTGGTCCGAATGCCAATTACTGTATACCACGAACACGCTCTATGACTGACCTGACAGTTCAGGATTTAGAATGTGACAAAAGACTTTTTGAAAAAAACCTGTCTATAATAAGTTATGCAAACCCGTAAACATAAGAAACATGAAGTTCTACTCAAGGCAAAACTCACCAAGTCACCATACATATTTGGTCGCATACCACGACTAACTTGTTGAACATAGTCGTCATAGTCCTGTAGAGAAAAATTATGACGTATAACTCCGAAATTCACTCACATACCCAAGTCATCAATAAATTACGATCAATAGGAAGAGAACTGGATCGACTACGAGACCTATGCCCGCGAGGTCCTACACACGGTAAAAATAGCAAAACAAGTAGATGTAAGATCACAAAATTAGTCATTGAGTAACTACTTACAAGCATATAAACGATCACAACTTGGGTCAATTTCACTGATGTTTTTTAGAGTTAGTTGGAAAAAGTTTATTTGATGACAATACTGTTTTTAAGCAATGGGTGTAACAAAGAGGATAAAACACATTTCTATGATATTAGTTGCAAGCATATACATGAAAGTTTTGTAGACATTTTTATTTTTAGTTAGACACAAGCGATACTTTACATTTATATACAAATACAAATAATGTGTCACAGAGCACAAATCATAATATTCATTGGAATGAATATTGACAACTATATGACAACAAAAGTAAAATAATCATTAATTCAAAACCAGATTATATCTATTGCGGAAGTACATGTAAAAAACTCCATTGCATGACTCAACGTAAACATTTTAGAGCTTGTTTGCAAATTTGAATAGATAAGTGATTGAAAGTTGAATTCAGTTGTGTAGAGGAAGTTAAAATATTGAAGGTTTCGGAGATAATAGTTATAATAGCACAAACTAATGATTAGAACAGCTGTAATTAAAATCACTTTTCGTACAAACTACACCTTGAAGGCTGAAAAATTACATCAATAATTCTCCTTTCATGTCGTCAAGAGGTTCTGAGACCTAAAGCTTATTCAATACTTACTAACTGTCGATAGAGTTTCACTTCTTACATTAGAAGAGAAATTACTTAAGTAGAAATTTATCTGCTTTCGAGGTCATCTTCACTAATGACATGCTTTTAAAAGACAGAGCACCAGAAGGGTGAGAAAACACTGAATCACCAAAATCACCACCCTGGTACAAATTTTTCGCTACATTTTACCGAATCAACAAACGGTAAGGAACTAAGCATGAAATTACAGTGAATCATCGAATGAAGCAGACAAAATGAAAGTCAAAGGAGACGAATGAAAATATTCAACCTGATTAAGAAGTATAAATAATATAAATGCAGTAAATATGACCCTTAGCAAATTTACCAACGAATCGGAGTCCATTCAATCATACTTTTATCATAGTAATGCACTGCTACTACGAAAAAGTACCATTAAACACTTATATAAAGTCCGCTAACAGACATCCATGTGTAGTGTCGCTACTACAGAAAAGCTGTTCAAAGGAATTCTGAATCATAAAATTGCTCTTTAATGACATTGTGAGGTGATATAAAGGGAAGAACAAGCTTATTGCCCCTATTATAATTAATCTCGAATTCAGTTGTGAAGTAGAATACGCTATAAACCTACTTCAATGTCAAACGAGGTATTAAAAGCAACTTTTTGAGACAGGTCGAGTTTAATTTACAAATATGGTCCTCGAAAATCTCTCTCAAGAGACTATAAAATATCGATGACTACACAATGACACCGCAAATGATAAAAGGATCAGTCCTGGAGTAAAGAAAATGAAAGCACTAATACGAAGCCATTTCCCCCGACTGTACATAGATGCCAGTCATTCCGCTTCTGCACCGAATGTACACAATTAAAAAGAGAATCAGAGCAGAACTACGGTCGTAAACAATACAACAGTTATCAAGGTAACCATATGCTCATACTTTCTCAGAACTCTTTATAGCCAAACCTAGCCTTTTAATACTCGATGCACAAAACAAGTCACTAAAAATATTAACAAAGAAACCAACCCCATGTTTGATAATGAAAAACAAAGTATTCAGATATTTTCGGTACCGGGAATAGTAAACGGTAACCGAAAGTAGTCCACAGCTTCCGTCTTTACGGTTCTGGCAACAGAACGTATTCGATCACTACGGTTTTACTCTCAACCCAGTGAACAAGACGAATGCTTTATGGAAAATTTTAAATGGACTCTGCACAAATCTAAAAGATGAAGGAATCACCAGAACAATGTCAGTTTCTCAGCTATTAACTGTACGACAACCACGGGAATACTATATGACCAATGTTTTTTCCGGATTGAGAACTCTGTATGGAGAATTGTTTTAAGACACCTCAGTACACTAAAACAATTGGTAACCTAGAGTTGTAAAGTACTTCTCATGAATTATTGTGGGAAAAAACCTAAATAAAGTTGATTCGACTTCGCGAAAATGAGGCTGTGTGAACTGGGAGTTTCAGGTTGGTTCTCCAGTTTGGTGTGGTATTCAAAATAACCAAAAGCAACGTCTGACATAGTAAAAGCTAACATGAAATATGACCCACTATTATTTGCATAAAGGTGTTATGGAAGTAAAACCTCAACGATTTAGACTATATGCTCTGGGAGTAAATGATTCAAGCATTGAAATTGGTCTCTCTTCGACCAATCAGATTCAAAGTGCTGAAAATCTCCAAAAGAACTTTTGTACAGATACCTGTCTTTAGTTCTGTAAGTTTGTCCTGACCAATGACTTTGGAATATACTTCATCCAGTTCATTATTGCTCCCATACGTATCAAGTCGAATAAGGTTAATAGATTGAAGAGTATGGAGAAAGAGTACAACACAGTCGAATGATATCACCGGTCTACAGTATGTAAATGATACATACGTTTAATAAGGAAGTCGATAAAATTGGATCTACTAAATGAAATTGTTCCGGATGAGCTTCTATACATTTGGATATAAAATGTTGCTTTTGGACTGGTTGATACTCATTTTGACAACAAAATGGTGAATTTGAGCAAGTTGGTTATGTACTTTGGTAATCTCGCCAAATACCACGGGTCGCTGACGAAGTTTCTACCAATTTGTTACCAGGAACTGGTATTTCATGCTGAATATCAGTAATACTTTCCCTGTAGTTATATCTAGTGCTTTGAACACACTTAGGTTCAAATGCTTGTAACCAAGTAATCTTTACTTTAGGGTCACGACGAAACGGTTTGTATTACTGAGTCTACATGCCTATCGATAGACAAACAAACTTGCTTGAGTTACAGGCGATGTACGTCGACAGTTTCCGATTAATTTATGATAATTTTAAAATCCTGATTCATCAAACTTGACAAGATTACGGAAATACGTAACGAACTTGCTCAAAAACATCATCCTGTGTTGTCAAAATGAGTATCAGCAAGTCTAGAAGCAACATTTTTCAAGCAGACATATGGAAACTTAACCTGAGCATTTTCATACAAATAATTTAAAAGATCCAGTTTTATCGTCGTTTCTATTTGTATTATATATAATCTACATACTCAAAGTCATTGAGTCTCCAGCCAAGAGACTAATTCCTTGTCAGGTTATCTGATGCACTTAATTCCAATGACACTCACAAATTTAGTTTAGAAAGCAGATTTTGGAGTTAATTACCGTAATTAACCGATGAATCTACAGATAATCCAAATTACTTTAACACCTATTAACCCACGTCATCTGTTCCCCAAGGATCGAAAGTTGTTAAAGACATCAAATTATTCAGTAGGTACCTTAGTAAGAGTCATACTCTAAGCTGGGGCTGGTGATATTACTCAGCCGGCCGAACCAAAACAAGTGGAGTGACGTTCAAATCAGGGGCTGTGACTGGAAGTTAAACTCCCTACCCACTAAGCAACCATTTCACACAGAACAGGAAGCAGGTACATCCCTATATGCCTACTACCCCAAATATATCGAAAGCAAATATGTGGTAAATAAGCTGATGGTCAAGTTTGAAATCTGCTTGCTTTCTACGAATTCTTTAATAAGGTAGTTGAAGAATTTTAGGGGTGTCCGGTCAAATCGTATATCTGCGTTATGTTGGTATATATAATTTCGGAAAACGGTTGAGTTCGGTCAAAACGAAAAACACCATCAATCAATAAACCCAAAACTTGGTCTCATACGAAATTGTGTACGTGATGAATATCCGCAAAGTAAGCATGAGTTGTCAGTAGAGACCATACATGAAATAGATCAAACTGGTCGCAGTGAACTGAATGTATTTATCTTCCCCTATATTTTGAATTTGGGTATTAATTTAGGCCTCTCGTCACACAAGTTAATTTGTCAACTATTATTACTACAGTTTATATCCTATCACAAACGACATAACCGCCTTTATTTTGCCCGCCTGTAGCTCCTCTAGAGTTACTGCCGGTCCCAAGCCCAGGTAAAAGAGGAGGGTTGAGCATGGGGTTAGCGACCCGATCCCCTAGAAAACTAACTCGACCGCCTCACTTATCTTGAAAGTCTCATCAGCCCTTGTGGTCTGGTGTGTGACGAAATCTCAGCACAAATACAGAAGGCTCGACTAGCTTCTGCCAACTTGCGTCATTTATGGCGTAGGCGAGATATCCGTCTATCAACCAAAGGACGTGTTTGCTGCGCAGCAGTTCGTTCCGTCTTACTTTATGGCAGTGGAACGTGGCCGGTAGGAGTAGAGGATATTCTTAGGTTACTAGTATTCGATCATAGGTGTCTTCGAAACATTGCTCGTATATCCTGGGACCATCGAGTAAGTAACACAGTTGTTAGGAAATGGGTACTAGGTAAGGATGGCAAATCCATTAATGACGTGGTGAAACTTTATCAGTTGAGATGGCTGGGACACGTGTTACGTATGCCCAACGACCGACTGCCTCGACGAGCGACGTTATGTGGTATAGGAGTAGGTTGGAAGAAAACTAGGGGCGGCCAGACCAAAACATGGCACAAGTCCATGAAGTCACTGACAAGTGGTCTGAGTCATGTTGGTAGGTGTAGACTACCTGGTTGGGGACCGTGAGATGATAGCAACCGATGGGTAGAGACCCTGAATGACATGGCTCGAAATCGTTTGCAATGGCGCAGGTGCATCCACTCTTTGTGTTCTCCCAAATTCTAATCTTCTGAATACTTCATTTCCCTTTTTTCCTCTTTCCAAATTTATTTAACTGAATTATACTCTTTAAATAACATCTCCAAACACTAATCTTTCCGATTACTGCTTATACTTTTACCACCTCTACCACTACTAGATTTAAATCGACAACCGCATCTCTGTGCTAATGTGGTATGGAAACTCGAACTGTTGTTAATGACTGACTGAGAAAAAACGCTAACCAGAAAAACTAATTCAAGACATTTAAACTCTGTCCTGGGAGTTACAAGGTCTTCATTTAGAAGAACTATGACGCCTCATGGTGAAAGCCGAGTTCCTTCGCAAGTCACAAGACCGAAGCCCTTTTTAACAACCAGAGCAACAATTTTTATAGGTACATGGAACGACCGGAAAATGTAGGAGACCGGGCGTACTAAGTTCTACGTTGTTACTGACTGACAACATACACAAGGGAAAAAGCAACATCCTCAACTATAACACAGAGAATACCAACCCAGCCACACTTGATGGCGAAACTATGGAAGATGTAGAATCCTTCAAATACCTGGGAAGCATCGTCGATGAACAAGGAGGATCAGATGCAGTTGTAAAGGCGAGGATTGGCAAAGCAAGGGTCGCATTCCTACAAGTGAAGAACATATAGAACTCAAAACAACTGTCAACCAATATCATACTCAGAATCTTCAATACGAACGTCAAGGCAGTTCTACTGCACGGAACTGAAACTTGGAGAACTACAACAACCACCATCAAGAAGGTACAAGTATTCATAAACAATTGTCTACGTAAGACAGTGTCCGCTGACCCGATGCCATGAGCAACAGCCTTTTCTGGGAGAGAACAAACCATCCTCCAGCTGAATAAATTAGGAAAAGACGATGAAAATGGATAGGACATACATTACACGAATCATCGAACTGCATCACGAGGCAAGCCCTAACTTGAAATCCTGAAGGGAAGCTGAAAAGAGGAAGGTCGATGAACATACTGTGTCGAGAATTGGAAGCAGACATGTAAAGGACGAATAACAACTGGAAGAAGCTGAAAAGGATCGCTCAGGACAGGGTTGGATGGCGAGTGCTGGTGGGCGGCCTATGCTGATCCACGAGGAGTAACAGGCGTATGTATAAGAATACGAAACATAACATTAATAAGTGCTCGATTAACATGTTGCTCGTTTTGATTACCACACATCTATGGGTCGTCAGTGGAAGTAACTAACTAGCAGATTTTCTTGTATGCGCTTATCAATCAGCCACATGATATCCTCTTAGCACTACTAATTGATCGGCATTCTATTGGCACTTGAAAATAATGGGGTATTTGAACACGAGGTTCGATGGCTTACAAATACAAAATCGGAGTTACATAGATGCAATAAGTGGAAAATCATTTTACATGATATTCAGTCAACTGGTGACGTAATTATGACTGCACACACTATGAAAAACTTTTACTGATGTTTGAAAAAATAGTTCACCAGTATTTATGTATGAGTCACATTACACAGGGCGTCACTCGACGAATATGCTTCGACACTAAGCGATTCACGGACGAAATATGCACGAACCAGAAAGCTAGAAACAACAGAAATATTTTGACTCACTTTCATAATTTCCATGCCTTGATGTTATTTCACGCCTCCTTGACGATAGAAACCAAACCAAGAGTTCCCATGTGAGCGAAGACACATTATTGAAAATGAAAACAAATGTTAATGCAAAATACGTGAAAATGGAATTAAATACCCACAAACATCCTTTACCTGTATTATTCCTAAAAAGAAATGGATTAAATCATATGCCACCAAACATTAACTTCACTTCAGGAAATGAAGACTAACAAAACCTCAACACAAGCAAACTTCAGCCAAATTTCACTTACAAAATGGACATGTTTGATGTATACAAGAACCTCTGAAGATTTTTTAGTTCTTCACGTGCCTACTATCATAACTATGTTAGTAACCGGACATTTAAGAATATGAAATCTAATGTTAATTGTTCATGGAAGCCACATGTGGCCATGGTACAAGCAAGTTGCTAGCATCAAAAATGAAAAAAATTCAACAGTTCACGTAAAGCACGATAAAACATTGTGGTTAACCAGATGTGAAACAGTCCATATATAAATAATAAATAAATTAGCACAAATTTTTGATTCTTGTGTCCACTGTTCAATAACACCTAACCTCGGGGAATGTGACTTCCGTCGAACTGTTTCAAATCGTGAAGACTCTTCTTCTACATAACCATCAGTTCTCCGATGCCGTGGATTACGTTCACGAGCATAACTGTAAGCTGTGCTGTCGCTAGCAGAGCGCGAACGACTACTTTCGGCATGAGATTTTACAGGAACACTGTTTGCCACAGGATTGAGTGGTATTCCTGGTCGACTTATTACATTAGGATGCTCATTTAGACTTTGCCTTTATTAATGACGTGGATATATGTGACTCGTAAACGTGCTCCATTGTCTAGCTTGGATCACTGTATAATTCGTGTTCTACCCAAATTTTATGGCAAGCATGGGAAGAATACACTCTTACATCAAACAAAGTCAAATATGGGAACTACTCAGAAGAAAATACCCAAAATTTGAAAAACATGTTTCATACAACAAACTGGGAATTATTTGCAGATGACTCACTGGAAATCCCTACTGATGTTATCACTTGTTACATTAGATAATGTTTTGATACTTGTTATCCCATTGAAACCATTTTTGTAAGTTTTGATCGACTTACATCTTCACCACTAAAACGACTACGGAGGGTGAAAGAAAGAATGTAAAAGGAGGAAAACTCTAATGAAGTTCGTAAGCTAAATGGTCTGATAAACCTAGATATTAAGCTTCTCAACTCTATGTTTTCATAAAACCTCTTGTCTTTCAAAAACTCTCCAAGTATGTGGAAACTCATTAAAAAAGTTACAGGTGACAGACAGATTTGAAGCCATAACCAACTGAATGTTTGTGACTTAAATAAGTCTTTTGTACGTCAGTCATCTGATGTGATGTTCCCTCTATCCACGGGTTTAAATAATAGCTGTGCTCCTACTTTCACTGAAACTGATGTACGAAGATGTCTGCAGTCCCTTAATTCATCTCGATGTTTGGGGCCTGATGGTATCCCAAACATCCTTTTTAAAAATTGTGCTGAAGTCACAACTATCTTTAACAGATCTTACTCATCTAATCTCATACCGAAAATGTGAAGAAAGAGGAAGATAATCCCTGTGCCTAAGAAAGCATATGGTGATAAAAATGTAAAATTTAGACCTATTGCAATAACTTCACCCTTCCTTAAAACAATGGAAAAATTAATAATACTTCCACTTCAGCCTGCGATAAAAGAACATATTGATCCATATCAGTTTGGTTACAGACGCAAAAGAAGCACTTTAGATGCTGTTGCTGTCCTGCATCACAACATAGTGTTCAACTTAGAAAAGGGTATGAAGTATGTTCGATGAGCTTTTCTTGACTATACTTCAGCTTTTAATTCTATATCAAGACAACGTTTACTTAACAAGTTAATCAGCGCCAACACTGACAGTTGGATAACCAACTAGCTATGTTCCTACTTCTCTGAAAAAGAACGGTGCGCTGTATCTGGAGGAAAGTGTTCAGAGCCTCTACTGTCTCGTAAAGGTGTACCACAAGGAGATATTCTTTCACCTCTTCTTTTCTCTTTTTTCCTGCATGATCTGCCATCTTCCACAGAAAACACTTTTTTGAAATATGCGGATGATCTTACTGTATGTATGCCTATCTCTTCCTCTTTACATCCCATAGAAATGAATGAGTTTTTGTCTCGTATTGATTGTTGGTCTGTTGGTAATGGTCTCATACTTAATCCGTCTAAATGTCAAGCTGTTAACTGTAGAATGAGATATGGACGGAATCTAAACACCATTTTGATATTCCATAGTGCTTGTACCATCGGGGGCTCTTTGATAAGCACAGTGTCGAAGGTCAATTATCTTGGTGTTACCTTTTCCTGTGATTTCTCTTGATCTTCTCACATTTTGTTGTTATCGAAGAAGGTTTTCCGTCTGACTTATAACATAAAGCGATTGCATGCTCTTGGGTTTACTCGTCATTTACTCTTACAATTTGTCAACTCCTGCATATTACATATTGTTGTTTACTGTTCTCTATTATTCTTTCCCGTGCTTTTGAGAAAAGACTTTGCTGTATTGTGGAGAGTGCTGAAGGCAGTTGGCAAGATGTTTGGTGAATCTTTCGAGGTCATAATTAATATGGTTGTGGATAGACATTTAAAATCGTGAAAATTCCTGGTAGGTGTTATTTTATCAGATACTATTTATCCACTTCACTCTTATCTTTCTCCTTGTATATTTTCTGGTAGAACGAGACGTAATCACATTAAAATCTATGCATGCAAGCAAAAATATAAAAGTTCTATAATACCTTACCCAGAAAATATATTTTGTGACGAACAGGTTGTTAGAGTTAACCTAGTCAATAACATGCATTCTTAACATGTCTCTGATTTGAAAAGTTGTAAAGTTTTTCAGTTTTTTAAACTGTTGTTTCATTTTTTGTATTTGTTACTGTTTTTTTGCGTAAGTAACTTGTTGAAATACCATGTGCTGAGAATTCTATATTGTACCAAAATATAATATTGAATAAAGCCATTAATAATAAATAAATAAACAAGAATGAAATCCATTTGTGACAATAAAAAAAGAATGTACTCTTATTAATATATTTGCCATCATAATCAATCGACGTCCAAGTGAAGCTTGACAACAAAAAGCCCGTAAAGTCCGCAAGGTTTCGGACAAGAAGATGGATGTAAAGGTGATAACTTAACCTTATGACGTTTTAGAAAACAAACATACTTGGCAGTTCCATGATTGTATATTCTAACTCGTCGTATCGTAAAGATCAACAAATTAACGTCTGGAGCTTCTGAAGAGCATATTTTGGTCTAAAGATACGAAAATATATTTAATGCGAGTAAAGAAAAGCTGCACAGAATGACCACGTCTGTGAGACCAAGCCATGCTGTTCGATTTATTGAATGAATTCTCCCGCATAAACCCATAATCTATTCCCTGAACTCCCGCCAACCAATGGGCCACTTTATTATAGACCACCTAAAATCTAGACAGAACAAGAATATAACTAACCTCATTGTTATTAATATGAAAATAACCAAATCACAGAACACATGGTTTATCATCTCCTATTATTCATTGACTATTAATCATGGCCTTACGCTCCTAACCCTAACTTTCAATTTTCTAATCTCTCTAATGGTTAAAGACACATTATTCTTCCTAAGTGGCATGTCCTATTTTTTCTATTGCAAGTACATAGATAACTCACCAATCCTATGGATGCTGATCAACTAAGGCCGATCATAAGAAGCTCATAATGTCCTCAATTATTATTATCATCAAGTTCTTGTGAGTAGCTCAATGTTTTATTTTTCTTACGCTCAAAATTTTACAATCTTATACTCTTTCATATACTTTGATTTACTATTAGAACTTATCATCTTTAAACGACAAATAATCTAACCTGTTTTCTAACTTTTGTCATTAGTTATCTTCACAGCAGTGTGATATACTAAATGGGTGTCTAACCCACAATACAAATGCTTTAACTATCTGATTTGCATGTAACATGGAACTAGTATAGACAGTGTATTCCAACAAGGAATTTAGATTATAGCAACCTTCATACATACCACGAGCGTAAGGTAGAATAACATCATAAAGGGAGGGAGGGTGGCGTTACTGACCAGCAAACATGATGGTGAGGGGATACCTTCAATCCACCCATATCTGTGAGGCAGAAAAGTTTGTTTAATTACGGCTCCTTATGGTCTAGTGGAATGTCACGAACAAACAGTATTGATGCTGATTAATTATGAAAAATACCTCAATAAATCGTGTTTAGAGAGCTGGATTGGTTTCACTTCCCACCGAGTAATCCTATTACAAACAAACTAGACAATGCGCCAAAAATGAACCCTGCTTAAGACCCTGTAATGTCTACAAGAAATAGTGGGCTCAAATAGCCTCAACAAAAAGGGAGACAGCCACTTGTGTATCATAATACTGTTTTCAGCACTATATTTTATAACTACACATAATCCCATACTTTCAGCTTCTTACTGAACCACCTTCATTTACGCAGTTCTTTATCCACTCATATCTTGTTTACACTTATTTTCTTTAGCATATTGGAATTCTCTTGCTTATTAAATAAAAAATAAAACAAATTTGGACTGAGTAGTCATACCTTGAATATTCCTTGATGAACATTGTCTGCTCTGCTTCTCGTCCTTTCTTTTTCTTTTGCCCTCTTTCAGCCCCCTTGAGATATGCCACCGAAAACAGACATGGAACAGGTGGCTTGGTCCTGCACCATCATTAAAGCCTCATATATTCCAGAAGGATATAAGGTTGAGACTTATAGAAGCCTTTGACTTCACATGAATCGCTACCGCGCTCGTTTAAAAAAAAGCAGTGATTTTTGTACTTGTTGTGAGTATACTTGCTTTGGGTACTTATTGCACCAAAAAGCATTCTTTGTCTACTTTAACTAAAAGTAAATTGGTTAGAGTTTGGAATTTTTTGCTAAATTTTGTCCCGGGTACCTTTTTTACTCCTTGACTAACACTTATGTTCACATTGTGATCAATTTGTGTTTTTAAACATTTTAAATCGAATTTCAAAGGTTGGTAAGACTCATAAATATGGGCAATCAAATTGTTTGTTCCCCTTTGGGGAGGAAATGCAGTGTGACGATTGTAAAATGTGGTACCACAAAATATGAACTCACCTAAGTCCGACGGCTTACAAAAGGTGCTCGAAGCCTAACTTGCATTGGCTTTGTATGTTCTGCTGTACGGATAAAAAGATACTAATTTAGGAGGCTATGGGTCTATTGGCTTTGGCCTACAAGAAAAACGATGGCGGAAGCAATGATAACAAGAGCACTGACGGAGAAGAATGAAGTGCCTTTTGATATTGACATCGACAGTCATATACCTCTAGTTAAAATAGAAGATCCGGATAAATCTGTCACCGTTCCACGTAGTCCAGGTGTGGCTGTCCTGACTGGTGACAAATGGACTTCAGTAAGAAGAAAAAGAAATGGGAAGAAAAAGCCTGTGGGCAGAACGCAGCGTGACAAGACAGATCTCTCTGAGAGATCAGTCATTTTTCATAAGAGAATCTTCAGATAAAGAACTAAAAGAGAGATTTGAACACGATTTCAATCATATTAATACATAATTAAGTAAACTACTCCCAGTTACAATTTCAGGAGTCAGTATTTGTAAGCTTTATGGAATAGGAGAAAAGGTTGATTCCGAAGTCCTCTAAAAAACCGCCTCCTGAAGGTTACATTCAACACGGTGGAAGAAAGGAACCTGATTCTAAGTAGTTCACGTAAATTGATAGGATTCGGAATATATGTCCGTGAGGATCTCAGCCTAACTGATCGTATTAAGAGACTAGCTGCAGAAACGGAAATAAATGAACGTCGCCAAAACGGGGAACGAAACCTTGTTTTTAAGGGTTTTCAAGTTGTAAAAGTTTGGAGCAAAACGATTCCCAAGCCACTCTAGGAGGCAAGGGAAAGCTCTCCACAGACTTAAAGGTATGCTACACAAATGCTCGCAGCCTACTAAATAAAATGGCGGTGGATAAAGAAAAATCGGACGTTATTGCTGTCTCGGAAACTTGGTTAACGTCAGACGTATTAGATAGTGAAATTTAGTTGACTGGTTTCATAATCAGTAGGGCTGATAGATTAAACCGAAATGGAGGCAGGGTTATTCTGTACACGAAAAGTATTATAACCATAAGATTAACTGAGACAGTAGCACATGTTTCAGGGACATGTGAAGTGGTTAGATGTAATTTGAAATGCCGACGGCATGATATTAAATTAGTTGTAGTATATCGCAGTCCAGAATATGTAGCAGATGATTTTCTCCTAAGTAAACTTAAGTCCTGGTGTAACAACGGTAAAAGTAGGGTCATCGATATCGTCGTTCGACTGCAAACTGTAAGAAACCTCGATTGGATTAGCATTATTCCCACAAGATACGACTTAAGAAACTCTTCCTCTCTTTTAGATTTAGTCTTCACACGGTGATGACGTCGGCCGAATGGCTTTTCTCCCACCACTTAGGAGAAGTGACCATGCAGTCATCTTATTCAAACTCATGGCTGAGATTGCCTATCAAACAGTTGCACCGGCAGATATGCAGGCAACTAACTCCGCAGCATCGGCTGAAAACTGGGAAATTGACACAAAGGCATCAGTACAAGAGGCATGGAGTCTATTCAGGCAGTTATACAATCGAGTAACTTAACCATACATACCCTGGACTGTCCCAAAGAAAAAAAGCACGGACATCCTTGGATAGGCCGGGATATTCGACGTTTACAAAGACAAAAGAAGAAATGCTGGGACGATGCCATCCGCCTTAGCACAGCACGTACTATGGAACGCTACAGATCGATAAGAAACGAGTGTATAACGAAAATTCGGGAAGCTTAAAGAAAATATGAAATGCAGCTGGCACAATCTGCACTCAAGCAACCCAGAAGAATATTCTCGTACACAAACTACAGAACAAGGATGCATCACTGGATCCCCAACCTAATTAAAGTAGGAAGTGAATCTGTAATGATAGAGGAAGATCAAGAAAAAGCAGAGGCTATGGCTGACTATTTTGGGGCAGTTTTCATTCAGGAACCTCCTCTAGAGAAAGAACCAGACCCAAATACAGAGTCGACAAACCACCTGCTCACCGTGGACTTCGACCAAAACGATGTGCTTAAGGCTCTTAGCACAGGACCAGATGAACTACACCCCAAAATCTTGGGACATATTGCCCAATATATCGCGGCCCCACTGACTGTGATATTCAATATGTCACTTGAACAAGGTGTGTTACCTATGGACTGGAAGGATGCACTCGTCACCCCCATACATAAAACAGGTCCACCACAAGTTCCATCGAATTACAGACCCGTAAGCCTCACCAGAGTGGTAATTAAAATACTGGAAAGAATAATCAAACGGACCTTAACGGCATTTATGGAAACCAATAACTTGCTGAACATGGCACAACATGGTATTAGAAAGGGTCTATCCTGCAGAACGAACCTCCTTATAGAAAGGGAGTTCTGGATTAATGCACTAGACAACGGAAACTCAGGGGATCTTGTCTACATAGATTTCAGTAAGGCTTTTGGCAAAGTGCCAACTAATAGACTGCTATTGAAGTTGGAAAACCTTGGTATTACCGGACCTCTTTTAAAATGGATTAAGGATTTCCTAGTAGATCGTAGACAAAAAGTAAGAATAAATTCGAAGTGCTCCATCTGGAGACCAGTACTTAGTGGAGTAGCTCAAGGTTCCGTCCTACGTCCTTTACTTTTCATAATGTACGTTATTGATCTTACAAGTATAGTACAGTCTCCAATGTTATTATACGCTCACGATGTAAAAATTTGGCGAGTAATAACTAGAGACAAAGACGCATTTACTCTTCAGGCAGACTTAAATAATATGATAAACTGATCTAAAGAGTAGCTGATGCCTATCAACGCAGAAAAGTGTGTCTACATGCACTTGGGGGATTCAAAGGTTAATAAGTACAACATAAGGAATGTGTCATTACCCGTAGTCCGGTCTCAAAAAGATCTAGGGGTGACAGTGAGTAATGATCTTAAGACGACGGCCCATTGCCGGGAGATCGCACTAAAGGGGTTTCGAACCCTCTGGGCTTTAAAAAGGATATTCACTAAGTTAGATACTACCGTGTTCACCACAGTATACACATCCTTAGTGAAAACTGAGCTAGAGAACTGCACTCAGGC